GATGTCAGACAAGATATGAATGTTTTTTTGGGCTCAAACGAAAGAGCGGGTCGAGAAATGGCGTGCTAGGACCTCTAAAGATGGTTTTGAACCAGGGGAGACTCCTAGACCCCAATATAAAAATTTGGAATATCTATACATGAGGAGCTAATTGATCGGATCTGAGGACGGTGGTGATAGTGGGTCGGTGGCGGCATCTAACGGGGGCCTGGGGCGGCTGCGGCGGCGGGAGATTTCGAAAGGGCGGCGGGGACTTTCGGACTTAGTCGGATTCGATATTCCTCTTTCAATTCATTGATTATAATATATAATTATGTGTGATATAATTATAATATATCGTCATTCTCATTGTAAAGAGTAGTACGATTGGTGAGGGTCATGCGTCAATTTGTCAGCAATTTGTCAGCTGTTAAGTTTGCGTATTACAATAAATGATTTGCTCATGTTCTAATTCCTATGCTCACTGAATAAGATTTTAATCTTAATTACAATTCAATTCTTTCTAGAACACACTTGGGAGTGTGAATTTTTGGAATTCAATGTTTGTTGATACTCTGATAAAAGTGCGTGGCCACACTTATCAATTTTTAGTTAGTTCGCACGGTAATTCAATTCAGTAGTGTAGCGGTAAACCGAGTTAAGTCGATTTTGACTATTAGCCAGTTTTTGCTGAATATCTCGGAATCTAAGAGAGATAGCAAAATTTTTCTCATGACTTTTTTTATAACGCTCTATTGGCTCTACAAAAAAGGTCATGACAAAAATCTTTCTATCTCTTTTAGATTCCGAGATATTCGTCAAAAACTAGCCAATAGTAAAAAACGACTTAACCCGGTTTACCGCTTCGCTACTGAATCTGTTGTTCATCTCATCAATATAATTCCGGGCTTGGGATATTGGCGTCTCGTGTTTTCAGCACCAAATTAAAAACTAAAATTTCATTTGGAATATTGAGTCACAGCTTCTTTTTAATCATATCAATATCGATTTTTTTGTTTTTTTTATGTTTTAGTTGATATCGACAATATGACAAAGAGCTAAGTGATAGATCGATCATCTTATAATGGTTCAAATAACGTTTTGCCGAAGTTTCATGGCATTTGACCATAGAAAAATTTACTCTTGTGAAAAACTCCCGCCAAAATTGCTTATGTCAATCCTTAAGAGGCAATGGAACTTACCATCGGAGCAGAAATCAGATTCCAAGTTTTTTCGTCGTCCGACGACTATTTACCAAAACCCAAATTCCTACATCATCAATAATCTTGGTGTCTACAGCGTAAGAATTTGGATTTTACGGAACAGTCGTCTGACGACGAATAAACTTGGAATGCAGTTTCTACTCCGATGGTAAGTTCCATTGCCTCTTAAGGGGTAACAGAAGGCCGCCGTTTCCTCGAGGTTTTCACGCAAATTTCCTGCTCAAAGTTATAAATATCTTACGAACCCCAAGCACATTGATCTTCATTACCGTCGCCTGCCCTGATTATCCGACACTTCCGCATAACGCAGGAAAAATCACCGCCATTAGCCCCGTCATTAGAATAAAAATGCAAAAATATTCATTAAAACGTGGATTCGATTTCGAATGCCCTTACGTAATGAGACTGGTGGGCGTCCCTAATCACCCAGTTATATGCCTCATTCCATCGGAAAATCGAGGGTTCGGGTTGCGCAAATGTAATATATGCAAAAGATAAATGCACTCCGACTTCTATATACAAATATTTTAATTAAGCCTGGTTCCACCTCATGCATGTGCAATCGTCTCGGACATTTGACAGGACTGCGAACGAATTTCTAACGGAAGTAAATGAGGGTAATGCGACATTTCTCATGTACTGATATTAAATTCCCCCGTCACTCGTAATTACACTTTTTTTCCGGGTATTTTTATGTTTTTATACGAAAAATTCCTACCGCACTCGTTACTGGACACAATATTGCGTATTGGGGTGTATGGGTACTTACCTTTCTAAAAATAATTGGATAACTGGAATATGATTAATGCGTTTTTTCATTTCTATCCGCCCGCACAGAGGACCGATGGCGAATCGATTTAAAGTCAATTTCATTCATGTTCACTTTTCTTGGTCTCAATGACACGGTCACTTAATTCTGGTGCAATGATCCTGGATATTATGGGTGTACCTGTTTGCTGGGAAATTCTGTTGGATTGCTATAATTTTTGGGTTCCATGGGATTTCATCACTGCGACATTTCATCCGCCGAGAAAATTCTTGGGAATTTCAGCCGGCGACAATTCATTCGCTGAAAAAAAATTCTGCGACATTTCATCCGCCAAATTTCGGCACTGAGATATTGATGAAATAAAGGGAAGCAGAAGAAAAGACAGGGAATATAATTGTGGAGAATACATTTACGCCGAGAATATTTAATCTGATTTTTTTTTTCGGGTGATTTGTCGGGCGGATGAAATGTCGCAGTGATGAAATTACGTGTCACTAATTTTTGTGTTGATTTTATTTAAAAAATCGACAGCTTTTTGCACATTTTTTCTAGTCGAAAATCTGTAATCGAAAAAAGTCGATTTGGATTTTTCTACAATTTTATATCCTGTCCGACAACAATTTAAAATCAGTTGACTATAGTAATTTTCAGAAGAGTGACATCTAAGGATGTACAAGTATCCTTTACAGTTTGGGCCGCAGTACACTAGAGATTTAATCATTTTCAATCATTGAATTTGTCAATTAAACTGCGTGAGAAAAATTTGAAAAAAATTATCAATAATTAGCGTCATTGAAATAACGTTTTGCACAGAATTATTATCTTTTTCAACATTCGTTGTTTATGAATAAATAATTGAAATTGTTTGACTTTCGGAAAGCTTATTCTTTTAGGCATGAAATCGATTTGTGGTAAAATTCTGAATATAATTAAATTTGTTACGATTCCGAACAAATGATTTTTCTGATGAAAAACTGATTGTTTATTTATTATTTACAGAAATGGTCGTAATTCTTAAATTACTTCATCTTCCTCCAAAAATAGACTTTCTAATTTTTTTTCAGATTTTTAAAATGTTTTCTAACGGTTTAACTGACAAAATTATTGTAAAATGTCTGGAAATTTAGGGTTAAATGGGGCTCAAGTGAAAGCTCTAATGTGCAACTACAGAAGCAGAAAAGCATTTACTGAAGAGAAAATAGCCAAAGTACTTGGATATCCTTAATTCGGGTCAGAGGAAAAAAAATTGGTCCAGTAGTTTATCAAGTTTCAAGTTTCTATCTCGATTGTTTCTCAAATTATCATGCGTGCAAGCAATTCCAGCGGGAAAAAAACTCAGACTAAATTCCAGGGAATCATTTTAATAAAAATGAATTCCCAAAGGTTTTCTTTTTCCATTCCATCAAAATCTTGGCAGATAATTATCCAATTTTTCTTAGAATGCACCTTGCATCAATGACAAGTGCAAGTGACTCATAAAAATATCCTTGAGATACTTTAAAGTATGTGAAATGTACCTCACCTTACATTGTAATTTAACGAAGAGCTGAGCTGGAAGTGGTACGAACATAACTCACATTTTTAAGATTAAAAAAGCTAGCGAATTTGCTAGACAATTCTATTGTCAATTCTATTTTCTTGTTTGATTTTTTTTATGAAAAGAAAAGAAAAATAGAATTAAAAAAATTCTGCAAATTTGAGGGGAGAAAATCCTATAGAAAATATCTCAATAGAATGAGTTGTATAGAAAAAGCGAATTCTATTGACTTTTTCTGTAAAATATTTCCTGTTGAACATTTCAATTACAATTCGAAATGCAATTGAATTGTCTAGCGAATTCTCTAGGTTTTTCTATAGAAATACCTCACCTCAAATTTTATGTTTTTTTAATGAAAAAAGAAGAAAAATAGAATGTAAAAAACTTGAAACAGTCGTGTCAAGGAATTCCTACAGAAAATGTGTTAAGACAACAGTTGTATAGAAAGAAAGGAAATAATTTCGAAAAGACATTTTCAATTGAAAAAAAAATTATCGATAAGTTCACCAGTTTGCCATTTTTTTTAAATATTCTACAGAAAAAAAAATCAATAGAATTTGGTTTTTTTACCCAACTTATTCAATTGATATATATTCTACAGAAATTCCTCATCTCAAAATTTCCATGTTTTCTTTTTATTTTTATTTTTTCAATGAATAATGAAAAATAAAATGTAAAAAACTTGAAATAGTCATGTCGAGGAATTTCTATAGAAACTGTCTCAAGAGAAAACAATTGTATTAAAAAAACAGAATAATTTCTAA